ACTACTACTACCGTAACGTACTAGTTACGTACGTACGTTACGTAGTAGTAGTACGTTACTTTACTTAACGTACGTACGTACGTACTACTAGTACTAATATATATATATATATATATATATATATATATATATATATATATATATATATATATATAGATAGATCTTGACCTAGAATTAATAGTGGTTTAGGTCATATCCCTAGCCATTAGATCTTGATTGGATGGTTGAAAATGTATGTTACTACTTGAATTTTGATTATTATTATTTTTTACAAATCAATTTAATCTGAAAATTTAAGCATATATAATTAAGACCATGAAGCACAACATAAAAATATAAGAAAATTATTTTAAAAATTTAAAATGGCCAAACTACCCCCATTATTTCTTAGGGGTAGTTTGGTAATTATGTATTTTGTAAAAATACTAGTGTTATATTGATTATTGTGCACCGTATTATGCAATAAACATGTATAAAATTTCATATAGAGAAACGATTAAAATTCAAGTAGTAATATGCATTTTCAACCCTCTGATCAAGATGTAACAACAAGGAGCATGACATAAACTACTGTTCATTTTAGGTCAAAACCTATTGTTAACGTCATCCCATGTGGGTGTGGGTGTGGGTGTGTGTGTGTATGTCTAGATAGAGAGCGAAAGAGAAGAGAGAGACAGAGAGATAAATGATTCTATAAGCCAAAGAGCCCATGCTACAACACAAGACTATTGGCTAAAACATTTAGCTAGAGAGTTTTCTCAGGTGAAACTTCACACATCTTTGATAGGAAAAATAAACAATTTAGAAAAGAAAAACGATTTTGAGTTATTGAAGGGTTGATTAACCATTCACCAAACTCATTTTCTCACATTTTATTGTGTGAAATCTTTTTCTTTTCTATTTTGATCTCCTAGATGAGATCTACACGTGTGCAAATTTCAGGTCCGAATCCCTCTAGCTCAATTTGGCTCATGCTATAGTATAAGCCCATGGACTTATATAATCTTGGAAAAATATCAATGAAATGGTCAAAGCACCTTAAAAACTCAATGAGGTGGTTAAATCAAATAAATAGCATCAAAGCGGTTAACTTTTAACAGTGTTGGAAAACTTTGGTGATTCCAACTCAGGCTTACCCAAGTCAATGCTGAGACTAAAACCCCATGACTAAGGTAAAGGGGGTTAAAATACCCTACTTGTTTTGAGTAACTGTACTAACTCTGACGGACTCCAAGTCTAAGGATTTACAAAGTACAAAAGGGGGGAGGAAAACAAAACCTTATTTTTCTTTAATTATCCTCGATCATGCATTGTTGTCCTTTAAAAATTAGAGTTTAGGACCATTTTTGTATCCTTCTACCTATTAGAAAGATTAGATTTGAGATAAGAACAATAAGTTCGTTGATTTTTTAGGTTTTGGCCAAAGATTAAAACATTGCAATCTTTTCACAATCCTAACCAAATCTTTGTTGAAATTTGTTACCCAAGCCATGTTCTAAGATCTCTATCAGAGAATAAGCTTCTTTTCCACAAAACCACTCAAAATTTTAGATTTGTAAGATTTTGAAAATCAAATACTATTGCACCGAAAATTTAAAGAGCTCAGAGCAACTTGATCTGAACTCAAATCCCAAATCTAGTTTAGGGGTTTCAATTGAACTGAGAACTCCTTGACAAATATTTGAGGCGTCCTTTCGCACCAAGCACAAAGATTGATGGACCAACCATGAAAATTTGGGTAAGTGAAATTGGGTTTCATATTTTCGAATTAAATTTCAATAAAGAACATTCGAGGATTCTTCATAGCTTTAGTGACTCCCATTATTTTTTTTTAAGTTTTCCAATTTTTGGATTTTTAAAGATATTTCCAGATTTTATTGTGATTTTTATGCGCAACTCACTCTTGACTTAGCAAATAATTTTTCTAGCACACATAACAAGATTTTTTTAACGAGAAACTATTCCAGAGTTTGAACCCAGAACAAGAAAGGTTATTTTAGGTCACTTGGCTCAAGTGACTTCATTGGGTGAAATTATTGAAACACCCTTACTTGTCCAGGACTTCAAGCTTAGAACAATTATTAAAAACAATTATGATGAGGTACCTAAATGAAAGGATTTTTAAAAGTAACCACTTGTTGGAATAATTGTAGACTTAACCACCTCCTAATTTTTTAAGGTGGTTCAAACATTTTAATGACTCTCTCTCTCTCTC